TCTGCCCCGCGCCGAGCGCACCCACGCGCCTTTCGTCGACTTCCTCAAGCCCATCATCGCCGACGGCGACACAGGCTTCGGCGGCGCCACTGCCACTGTCAAGCTCTGCAAGCTCTTCGTCGAGCGCGGGGCAGCCGGGGTCCACCTGGAGGACCAGTCGTCCGTGACCAAGAAGTGCGGGCACATGGCGGGGAAGGTGCTCGTCGCCGTCTCGGAGCACGTCAACCGCCTCGTCGCCGCAAGGCTCCAGTTCGACATCATGGGCGTCGAGACCGTCCTCGTTGCCCGCACCGACGCTGTGGCCGCGACGCTGATCCAGACCAACATCGACGCGCGCGACCACCAGTTCATCCTTGGAGCAACGAACCCGCGCCTCAAAAACCGGAGCCTCACGGCCATGCTCTCCGACGCCATGTCGGCCGGCAAGAACGGCAGGGAGCTGCAGGCAATCGAGGACGAGTGGACCGCCACGGCGCAGCTCAAAACCTTCTCCGAGTGCGTCAAGGACGCCATCGCGAGCCTCAACGCCACCGATCTGGAGAAGCAACGTAAGCTCCAGGAGTGGAGCAGCGCCACCAGCTACGACAAGTGCGTGTCCCACGAGCAAGCGCGCGACATCGCCGCGAGCCTGGGAGTCGGGTCCGTGTTCTGGGACTGGGATCTGCCACGGACCAGGGAAGGGTTCTACCGCTTCCAGGGCTCCGTCGCCTCCGCCGTCGTCCGCGGGCGCGCCTTCGCGCCGCACGCCGACGTGCTCTGGATGGAGACGTCGAGCCCAAACATCGCCGAGTGCACGGCCTTCGCCGAGGGCGTGAGGGCGGCCTTCCCGGAGGCGATGCTGGCCTACAACCTCTCGCCGTCCTTCAACTGGGACGCGTCGGGCATGACGGACGCCGACATGGCGGCGTTCATCCCGCACGTCGCCAGGCTCGGGTACGTATGGCAGTTCATCACGCTGGCCGGGTTCCACGCCGACGCGCTCGTCACCGACACGTTCGCGCGGGACTTCGCCCGGCGCGGCATGCTGGCGTACGTGGAGAGGATCCAGCGGGAGGAGAGGAGGAATGGGGTGGAGACTCTGGAGCACCAGAAGTGGTCGGGTGCCAACTTCTATGACAGGGTGCTCAAGACCGTGCAGGGCGGCATGTCCTCAACCGCAGCCATGGGAAAAGGCAAGTTGCCAATAAATCTTAATCTATTGACTAACTTTTCAGAGTTTTTGTCTCAATTGTTCATGCATGTTTTATACTATTTCAATATCTTTAAAGAAATAGATATATTACTTTTTTGTTCTTCTAACATTTTAACTAAATGTTTGGTGTTGCTTGCAGGGGCTACAGAAGAGCAGTTCTGGACTAAGCCTGGAAGTGAGAGCAGTAGCCAGCACGCTCTTGCCAAGTCCAGGATGTGATGAAGGTTGAGAAGGAATAATGATTAAGAAGAAAGCTCTGAGATAATTGGATAGAATAAAAGCGGCACGAGGGCACATCAGCTCTGGAAATAGATACGAATTGATCACTATAATTGGCATGGAATTGCCTAGCTATATATACTCCTACGAATTATGTCAGGCTCCAATTGGATATGTCAAATCGGGGTAAACTTTATTGACGATGTCTTTCAGGTCGTCATTTTTTTCTTTTGAAAAGTGAGAGCTTCCCGGCCTCTGCATTAGAACGATGCATACGGCCATATTATTAATAAGCAAATAGGTTCAACTCAAATCTTGATGTCTCAAACAAAAGAACAAAAATGCTCACAAAGAGCAGAAAAATAAAAGTAAAGCCACAAACGGCTGGCGTAAAAAAGATAGAAAAACTACTTGCCTATCCTATTACATAAGTGTCATCCAAACCAGTTGAAAATAGTCCATGCTACCATTTTTCATTGGATAGATCCAGTCACCATATGCTCCCTGGTCTTTGTCGGAGTGAGTAGCGACCATATACGGATCAACGCATTGGCTCGGAAGATAACCTGTAAAAAAATAAATATTTGTTGTTCTGTTAAAGACCAAGTCATTTCTGCATTTCAGACTGCCCATAATAGAGCACATACTCCTACACGAATGTGTCTGGCTGTTTCGGAATCTATCCCCTCAAGCCACGTCCCAAATAACGTGTTGATAGTATTTGGAGAAGTAATATTAAAGGTTATGTGAACCGTCCGCCATAATTTTTTTGCCAACGGGCAGTCAAGAAAGAGGTGTTTGATGGATTCACCCCGATCACAAAAACTACATCTTGTAGATCCTGTCCAGTTACGTTTTGCCAAGTTATTCTTAGTTAAAATGACTTGTTTGTGTACAAACCATATAAACACTTTAACTTTTAAAGGTACTTTGACTTTCCAAACATGTTTCGAACTAGGAATAGAGCTAGAATTGATAACATCCAGATACATGGATTTAACCGTAAACTCTCCATTCCTAGTTAGCTTCCAGCGCAACTGATCGGGTCGTTGAGAAAGCTGCACATCCATTAGTCTACGCACAAGATGGAGCCATGCTTCCCAACGGTTTCCGGCTAGCGTTCTCCTGAAGTGATTATCGAGAGGAGTGGACTGAAGTACTGTCGCAACGTAAGCGTTCTTCGTTGAACAATGCTATAAAGTGAAGGATATTGAAGTGCGAGGGGTGTTTCCACTAGCCATGTATCCTTCCAGGATCTCGTAGTGATACCGTTTCCGACTATAAACTTTGTCCTATTGAAAAAAACTGATTTAACTCTCATCAGTCCTTTTCAAAAAGGCGAGTCTGTCGGCTTCATTGTCACTTGGGACAAAGTTTTAGAATGAAGGTACTTATTACGCAGAATTTACGCCCGTGTGGCCTCCGTCTCTACAGATAACTTATACAGCCACTTGCTGAGAAGACATATGTTCTTCATCTCAAGATTTTCAATACCTAGACCCCCTTGGTCCTTCGGTCGACAAATAATATCCCATTTAGCGAGTCTGTATTTTCGCTTAAGTTCATCACTCTACCAGAAGAAGCGGGAACGATAGAAGTCCGGCCTTTTCCGAACTCCAACTGGTACCTCGAAAAAGGACAAGAGAAACATGGGCATACTCGTGAGAACCGAATTAATGAGAATTAATCGGCCTCCGTATGACATTAGCTTGCCCTTCCAGCAGCTCAGTTTCTTCTCAAATCGATCCTCAATGCACTTCCATTCTCTATTTGTCAGCTTACGATGGTGAATTGGTATACCCAAATACGTGAAAAGTAAAGCCCCCAATTCGCACCCGAACAATTGTTTGTAAGCAACTTGTTCCCCATTAACTCTTCCAAAACAGAACAATTCGCTTTTATGGAAGTTAATCTTTAACCCGGTCAATTGTTCGAATAAGCATAACACCAGCTTCATGTTTCTCACTTTTGCCAAGTCATGCTCCATGAAGATGATAGTATCATCGGCGTACTGTAAGATAGACACACCTCCATCAACTAGATGAGGAACCAGGCCACCTACCTGGCCAGCATCCTTACCCCTTCCTATTAGAATCCTCAACATGTCGACTACTATGTTAAACAGAATAGGGGACATCGGATCTCCTTGTCTCAGGCCCTTATGTGTCTGGAAGTAATGACCTATGTCGTCATTCACTTTAATTCCAACACTCCCTTTTTGCGTGAAAGATTCTACCTGGTGTCTCCAGGCCTGATCAAAACCTTTCAAACGCAATGCCTGTTGAAAAAATGGCCATTTGACTTTATCGTACGCTTTTTCAAAATCCACTTTGAAAACAACCCCGTCTAGTTTTTTCGTGTGAATTTCATGGAGCGTTTCATGAAGGACCACAACTCCTTCTAGGATATTTCTGTCTGACATGAAAGCAGTTTGGGACGGCTGCACCAAAGAGTGCGCAATCTGCGTGAGTCTATTAGTCCCAACCTTGGTAATTTTTTTAAAACTTACGTTAAGAAGATAGATCGGCCTGAACTGCTTAATTCTCACAGCCTCTGTTTTCTTAGGAAGCAAAGTTATCGTTCCAAAATTCAGATGAAACAACTGAAGCTGTCCGGAGAATAAATCATGGAACATTAGTATCAAATCCCCTTTAATAATATGCCAGCACTTTTTATAAAACTCCTTTATTGTTCTTCATCTGTGAAATAGGTTCAAATACCTTTTTCTCCGAAAATGGGGCGGTCAAAATATCATTCTCATCCGCAGCAAGTTGAGGAACATCCTCAACCCTCGACTCATCCAAGGATACGAAATTATCCTCCGGAGGTCCAAACAGCTGCTTGTAGTAATTGGTTATGTATAATTTTAGGTTTTCCTGTTCTAAAATCGTCCCCTTGTCTTGCTCAAGCTGAAAGATTCTTTTCTTTCTGTGCTTGTCATTGGCGATCATATGAAAGAATTGAGTGTTAGCGTCTCCTTGGACAACTTTGCGAACTTTAGCTCGCAATGCCCACTTCAATTTCGCCTCTCGCAGGAGTTCTTTCAATCTCATCTCCGCGTCTACTTTAGCATGTAGCTCCGTGGTCTCTAGAATTGTGGACTCGGCTTTTAAATCTAGGAACTGAATAAGTGTAAGGAGCCTCTCCTTTTCCACCTTATAAATCCCACTAAGATGCTTAGCCCACCCACGGAAGAAACTTCTTAAGTGCCTTATCTTATTCTGCCATCTTTCAGGTCGTCACTGAATTGGATAAGTCAATTGCTATTGAAACGCTTATGTATGTCAACTCAAACAAGCCTTCCATCAATATAAGAGTCTCCATTTTGTGGCAAGATTTGTTTGTAATCAGGACAACGAAGTTCTTAGAGCTCTAAGCAACTGTTTCTTGGTTCCACCTTATAGATTTAAAAATTGTCACATGCCAAACCATACGTATCACTGTAACTAAGTACATAAATAAATGATTAAAGCACCCTCAACTAAGTAGTAGGAGTACATCAGAAAGGCTCACTCAAGTATATCAATTATTAAGTGGATAAAGCATGTTTTGCAAATTGCAACATGCGTCCCACAAAGGGATTTTTTTTCTACTTAGCCCAAGGCTTTAGAACTGAAAGCACGATAATCACCGCGATGATGAGAAGCATGATAATTGCGATCATCATGCACTTCCTTGACTTCTTCTGCAGGCTCTTGGCGCTGCGCAACGCTTCGGTCCCAGTTTGCACGTGGTTTACAGCATTCTGAACCTGGGAGTTGAAACGCAGCAGCAAGCATGAACATCTAATAACTTTACAGAATTCTCAGTAGGATCGGCAAAACAGAAAGCAAAAGGAAAAGATGTAATAGACCTGGCTCTCTATGTTATCCAATATCTCTCCTTGTGCATCGACAAGCGCTGCCATGTCTGCAAAAATCTGAATCCACAATGTTAGATGCCATTGGTAAACTATGAACAAGAACATGTGAAATCGCTGGAGGTTTGGATGAAGTCTTGATTTTGGACCAACGATCTAACATTGTTAATTATAAGTGAATACAGTACATCAGACCGAAGAAACCGAAACAAAAATTCTTTTTCGAAGAAACCGATAAAGAACATTGGTAAAGTATGACCAAGAATATGTGAAAACAATAGAGGTTCGGTTGATATCTTGATTACTATTTTTTGCAAAAAAAAAAGATCGAAGAAACCGAAACAAAAACGACAAACAAAGAACATTGACAAACTCTAAAATTAAAACAAAGCTCTCTGAAGTTTTGATATTTGACCAAGAGCTAAACGGAAAGGCGCAGTCTGCCAAAAATTACCTGTTGCAATTCTAGAAGCTTTTTTTCAATATCCACCACTACATCATGCCGTTCCTGAATTTCTTCAACCGTGGCCATAATCTTTTCGCCGATGGCAATTTATAAAAAATGAATCAAGAATCATCAGACTCGACAACATGAGGTTAGCAACACAAGTTGTTGGGGGACAGAATAAACCACAATCAACCTGCCCTCGGCCGATTCCTTGAATAGCCTTCTCAAAGATCTGCTCGCTGCTTCCGGTCTCAATGAGGTTATCAATCACCTAGTCATGTTTTCATGACACATTGAATTCAGAAAGACAGATGCATTTTTCATTTTCCATGTACAAAATGTAATATGACTAGCATCCTCACCTCATCAGAAGGCTTTGTTCCAGTGACTGCGGTTCCAACATTTAGGTTTATCAAAAAACGGTAGCAAGACGATTTAAACTGAAATTATAGATCAACACGAGCATAATGCATTAAGAATAAAGCTCTCCTGACCTGTGAAGAACCTTCTCTCAACGACTTCTCGATACTCTTGCTGGATAGTTTGCCTCAAATTCTGTAAAAATGTGGATTAATATAGTGCATTCTCCTTGTTTGTTTCGGCGCAGAAGATGGGCAGTGAGTTAGATAACCAAACCTGGAAATCGTTCATTCTTTCTTTAAGCCTCTTCTTCAGTGCACTGCAATCATCAAAAGCTAGCAAAGTATCACCGTTTTTGTTGGTGGAAAAAGCACTACATTAAACTTTTCCCTGACAGCCTAAAATGATTTTGGACTAGCTCATTTTATTTTATTTTTGAAACAAGAGGACTAGCTCATTATTAAACTGGTATAGGTCCGCCGTCCCGGAAAGAACTGGAATGTAGCCAGCTTATTATGTCACATATTGTTTTCTGCGGTCATTGGAGGGTCAGTATTTTTAGAGATTAACTATATGGTTTTGCTGTCTAACAAGTTGTCCTAGCACCAAGCAATTATTTATATGCACTAACCTGCTGTCGATGATTAAATTTACTCAAGAAAGGGACGGATATCTTACATGGTCATCGACATCCTCGATCGATCTACACTTGTGCCCTTCCCACAACCTGGCTTCTTCCTGTTAGCAAGATTCTGGAAACAGAAAAGGTGAGTGAAACCTGAACATTCTCTTAGTCAGGTGAATTCAGGTGCTGCTGAACTAGAAAGGTTAATGCCAGTCAGTACATTTCTGTCCATTTGCTCTAGCTTCACTTTTATGCTTCGTGCGATCTTCCCCACTTCATCGATGTCTTTCTCCATGCGTCCCTTGATTGCTGGAAGATGCATCATTTAAACGCTCCGCGTATATCTTACCACATTACCACTCAGAAATGCAATCAGTACATATATACCAAGTAAAGGATGGAGTTCAAACCTTTCATTGCAGAGGCCTTAGTGGCTGATTTTGACTCCTCGTTGGCTTCCTGCAGGTGGAAAGAAAGAATTAATTTTCCTTGTCAATAGTACAAGTTAGAGACTAAGGTGATGGCAAGATGTAACTAAATATTGTTTTAAAAAGGAAAAGAGCTCATGTCTGAAACGTCTGAAACAAAATTTACCTGAAGTTTCTGAACTATATTAGACATCTTGTCCAGCAGCATCTCGATCTCTTTGACCTATATCACGACAGCTTACTTTAAGAATGTAGGACGATGATTTTCTACAGTTAATAGCACTTACACAAATTGTCCTCTCGCTGCACAACTGAGGTTGCCATCAAAATACATCGAAACTTTGATGCTCATGGACTAGATAACGTACCTCTTTGAAGAAGTCTTCGAGTCCATAATCTGATTTGTCCTTGGAGTTCTGGCGCCCCATCTCGATGTCCCTCTCCTTTGGGGGCTTCGCGTCCATTTCAAAAGAATCCTACGATCCAGTTGATCGAAAGCATCAACAATCATACAGTAATTGCAAGTTCCACCCATTTACTGAAGGTTCCAACCAATAGGATTTGGACGTATGACCGATTACTTTTCACGTTTGACTTATCTGGAAATCAATCAGGGTTATGCAGCACGTCTAATTATTGATCTATGATGACACTAGTAGAAACCAAACGAACTTTCTTTGTTCGAAAAGGAGGATGAAACCCGGGGCCTAAGAAGAAACGAACTGTAAAGCAGTTGGCGGCACGAACTGTATCTACATTCGTTGAATTACGGCCGCTGACAGAGAGAAAACGAAGAAGCAGCGCAAGTAATAAGGAAGAAGAAAAGGAACCGCATCATCTTGGACAGAGATTATCTTGTAAATTGTAAAGAACATTACCGTCAAAAGGTTGTTCATCTTGGCTTCCTGTGTGGAGAGAGAGAGAGGGAGAGAGGGAGAGAGGCGAAGGAAGATGAGATGAAGAAATGATGAGGTGACGGTGACTTTGGAAAGATCGTCCTGGTGTGGTGTGGAACGCCGGCCAACGATGGAACCAAATAACTATACCAGACAACTGGGTTTAGTAAAAATTAACAGCGACGTTAATTCGTTTCTTTGCTTGCCGTCTAGGGGGGACAGCGATTGCGTGCGTCTCCGTGGAAAGTGGAAACAGCCACGGTGACTGTTTTTCTTTTCTTTCTGAGATATAAACCTGCTGACTGTTGTGCTGCAACCGGCAACTCCGCTGTGCGGTCTCCTTACTGTCGCGGTTTACTCCCACGTTAACGCTCAATGCGACCACCGCATAATGCAGCAAAAAAAAAAAAAACCCAAAATCACTAGTTAAGAGTTATCGTCACTTGTCGTAACTAAAAGTCTTTTTTTTGTATATTCATTTATTCAAAATATTTTATCTCTTCAATTGTGCGTTAGAATTTTGAACTATTTTCACCATTGGATTACTCATGTCGAGATCTTCGATCTCATATTAATAGGTTTCGACAAACTTTTTTTCCACAAAAAATATCAAAATAGGCTGGAGCCGAGAGCACGCTTTTTTTCCTTTTTCTTTTCAAGAACCATAACTATGCTTCTCGTAGAAGCACATGATTTTTTTTCCTTTTTCGAGAAGTATAGTTATGCCTCTCCCGAAAGCAAATATGTGCTTCTTGCGAAAGCACAATTTTTCATTCTAACAAACACAGGTATGCTACTCGCAGAAATGAATATGTGCCTCCTTGAGAAGCAACATGTGCTTCTTTTGGAAGCACATTTGTTTTTCAAGAAGCACAACTGTACTTTTTGCAGAAGCACACCTGTGTCTCTACGAGAAGTAGAGTGTTTCCTGTGAAAGCATAGATTTTTTTCCCTTTATGTTAAGCATAATCGTGCTTCTCTTGAAAGAAAATATGTGCCTTTACGAGAAGCAAATCCGTATTTCTCATGGAAATACATTCTTTTTCTCTCGCAACAGCAAATTTGCCTCTCATGAAAGCACATTTTTTTTCTTTTCGAGAGACACATCTGTACTTCTCCCGGAAGCCAACTTGTGCCTACACGAGAAGCAAATTCATGCTTCTCAGGGGAGCACAAATTCTCACATTAGCTAATTTGTGCCTCTACAAGAAGCAAATGTGTGTTTCTCGTGAAAGCATACTTTTTTTCACAGAAATAAAATTTCATGATTTTTTCCTCCAAAATGTATGAAAAACCGTGCCAAACCGATTCTTTTTAAATAACACCAAGAAACAATCTAAAACCTGAAAACTCATACAGAAAAATAAAGGAAACAAAATTCCGAGGGAGGGGCAGCACGCGACATGTGGCGGCAACTGAACGCACCATTTGTCTTGCTCTAAGGGCACAAAAAATGAGCCCTGGAGGTCCGGAATACCCTGCAATGGTATCATTTGAAGCCAGGAGAAAGTGGTTCCACTTGGCAGGCCCAGTAAAGGTAACCTCGGGAAAAAAAATTCATGCGGCTTTTATCAACACTATTTCTGTGTACGATTTATGGCAATGATTTTTCATGAAAATGTTTTTGAAAGTTTAAAAAGGTTGTAAATTTAGAAAACTTTACAAATATTATTTAATTTTGGTGAATTTTCAAAACATCTTTGCTAATCTAAACATGTTGCATAATTTAGAAGAAGTTTACAAAATTTCAAAATGTTCCAAGTTTTTAACAAAAAATGTTCGCAATATAAAAACTATTTCTGAATTTTGGTGATAATATAAAAAATAGTCAAAAAATAAAATGTCCATATATTTAAAATATGCTCGTGTATTTGAAAAAAGCATGAATTTGGAAATATTCATGAGTTTTAAAAATGTTCACGCAGTTTGAAAGTGTTCATGAATTCAAAAAATATTCATAAAATCAAAATTGTTTTTGAAGCTAAAATAGAAAAGGAACAAAAATGGTAAGATAAAATAAAAATAAAAAAATAAAATAGGAATAAAAACCAAATAGAAACCTAGCAAAGAAACACATAAAAGAAGAAAAAACGGCCTGAGGCTTCTACAAACTGGGTGAAAATTTCCGAAAACCGCCACCAAGAGCTTTGTAGTCCGCAAATGGGCCGACACACTTGCGTTGTTGTGTCATCAATTTGGTTGACACGTATCACAGTAGGTAACACATATCATTCTTGTCTAAACAAGGTAATACATATCATTCGCTGGGGACCTCCTATACAATGCTTTGTGTGTCGAATTGCCCTTAGTTCTCACATGCGTGAGCTATTGGCCGACCCATTAATCCAAGTCCCTCCTACCACGTTTTATGTAACGAGCGACGTAAAAATACTGCAAAAGGGGACCCGTTCGTGAGAACTCGAGCTCGGGACCCCTGCCACTCGACCTGATGAATGCTTGTGATGTCATATAGAGCGGAAAATATAAGAACACACAACAGTGTTGATATATATAAAAAATCAGAATTACCTAAAAACTTTTCTTGAATTTTTTTTTGAACAATTTTGAAATCCTGAATATTTTTTGAATTTAAGAACCAAATTTAAAAAACATTTTAAAAGTTGACCATAGTTTTCAAACATAAACATTCTTAAAATGCGAACATTTTCAAACCTATTTTTTAAAACAAAAAGGTTTTGGAATTCCCAAACATTATTTGAATTTATGAACAACATTTGTAAAATCAATTTTTTATGAAATTTCAAAAAAAATGTAAAAGCAGGAGCATTTTTGAATTTACAAACATTTTTAGAAAACATGCAAATTTTTCGAAACTCCCTGAACTTTATTTGTATTTGTGAAAAAAATAGAAAACCTTGAGTATTTTCCGAATATGCAAAGAAATTTTAATAAAGGGGATTTTTTTTAGAAATTACCTAATATTTTTCGAATTTTTGATTTTCTTTAAATATGGACAACAATTGAATACAGGGACATTTGTTGAATTTCTTAACAAATTTTGAGAATCGCAAACATTTTTTCGAATCCTGAACTTTTTTTGAATTCATTATTTTTAAAAACAATTGGAACATTTTTCGAAGTTTTGAACACTTTATGAAAAACACAAACAATTTTGGAACATATTAAAAAAATAGCATAAATAAACTTTTAAACCGAAAAAAGTAACTCAAACGGAAAGAAAAAGAAAAAGGAGAGAAAAGAAAAAAATTAGGAAAAAAATTACAACACATGAACAGTTTTTGAAATTATGAACAATTGTTTGAAAACACTACTATTTTTTAAAACATGGATATTTTTTGCAATTCCCAAACATTTTTTTAGTTTGTGAACAAAATTTTAAAATGCACACATTTTTTTTGAAATTTTAAACTTTTTGGAGAAGAAGGGAACAATTTTTGAAATTCATTTTTTGGGATTTCCAAAAGAAGTTTGAAACAAGTTTTTTTAAAATAATGAACCTTTTTTAATTTCTGATAAAAAGATATTTTGCGACTTTGATAAAATGTTTCCGATTTAAAAAGCTGATTGCAAATTAGAAACGTTTGCAGATTGGAAAAATATTTGGTAACTGAAAATGTTTGAGAAATTCTAAAATGGATAAAACAAATTAGCAAAAAGGAAAAAAGAAATGAAAAAACTAGAAGAAAAGCAAAAGAAAGAAACGAAAAATGGAAAGGGAAAAAGGGAGAAAAAGAAGGATGAAACCAGGAGGAAAGGTACAAAAACAACCCCCCCCCCCCCAACCCATTTTTTACTTCCAGACATTTTGGATGATGTAACTCTATTTTAAGTTGAATAAAGTGAGCCAAATGGCTTTCCCCTAAAAAACAAATCTGGATACTGTCAACTGAAATGTTTTGGGACCTTCCTAAAACTATCAGACACCGAAACATTAGTGGGCCAACCCACCTAGACATTGTACAGGCAGGGGAGAGGATGTGTGTTCGGTCGACACTCCTCGTCCTACATGGGAATATGATATGCCATCATCGCACATGCTCGACGGAGAAGCAAGAAAGATTGAGGGCCCCGATGGAGTAGTTGGGTTGGCGTTGAAGAATCAGCCAACCTTGTTCATCCATCCAGGATCTACCTTGCTCGCTCGATTCGTCTACGTGTATGCTCCGCTGGCAACATCTCCGTATTTCGGCAAATTGTCAACCTAACACACATAGCGAGACACGATGGGCCGGCCCAACTAGTGTTAGTTTGCTTCTATTTTTAGGAAAGTTTGGGTCCTGTTTTAGAAACGTTCTATAATTCTCCATTCTGGTTTTTTATTTTTCTTTCTTTTCTTGTTTTCTCTACTACCTTTCCTTTTCCTCCTTTTTTCTTTTCCATTTATTTTTTTAGTCTTTTTCTTGGAAAAAACATGAAATTATTTAAAAATGTTCATAAAATCTTAAAATCATTCATAAAAATGAAAATATGTTAAATTTTATAGAAAATGTTTATGTTTCTCCTCAAAAAGAATTCACAAAAGTTTTAAAAATGTTCGCTTTTTCCAAAAAGTGTTCTCTATTTTTCAAAATAGTCTTCCCTTTGTAAAATAATAATTTCTTGTTTTTGGAAAACCAAATAACCCTATGTAAACTAATAAAACCGAAAAAACCAAATACCATAGGCGTCAAGTGCCCTTTTGTGAATTGTTGAAATCTAGACGCGGAGTGCATCACACATGAGCTCTCAGTAGCACACATGTCGTGAGCCATTTTTGTGTCAAATTTTGTATAATATTTTTTCATGTTTCCTTTTCAATTTTAGTTTGTTTTTAATTTTATTTTTGAATACCGCTTACACTTACTAGTTCACCTTTCTTATGGGCGTCTTATTCATGATGGGATATTGGCACTTCATGAAACTATTCAGAGGGTTAAGGTTCAGCGCCATAAAGGTGGGTTCCTTAAGATGGATTGCCAAAAGGCCTATGATCGCTCAGACTAGTCCTTTCTCCGTAAAGTTCTTGAGCGGAGGGGGTT